CCGTTGTTTGGCTCACAAAACGAATTCAATGCGGCAATCTTCATGCCACAGTACATGCAACAGTTCAACGGCCACGCTTACGGTCACGGCGGCAGTGGCGTGCAGATGCGCAACGGTGAGTGACACCACAACCACAATAACACAAAAAAAAAAAAAAAAAATAAACCAAAGCCAACAAAGTAATTAATTGCGCGTGCACATTTTTTTTTTATTTCCGTTTCAGCCGGCAATCGCGCACAATCGCTGATGGATCTGCGCTGCACGCTTCCCGGCATGTATAATCCGCGCTACGTGCTCGACACGGAGGACAAAAATGGCAAATACTTCAACATCACCATTGACGACCTGAAGAACAGCATACAGGACTCGAATAAGCACCAGCCACCGCCGTCGGTCATCGGTTCGGTGAACGATCCCATCTACTGTTCAATTGAGCCGAAGTTGCCCACACCGCCGCAACAGCGWCAACGCACGCCAGAGAAGTCCGCGCAGGCGTCATCGTCGTCGGGCAAGTTGACACGCAACTGCATTTCGCTGGAGAATTTGGAYGGCATTACGAAGGTGCAAAACGAGTTGGCTGCCTATGGCAACAATCTGTTGCAGAACTACACACAACAACARCAATACTACTTGGCCATGCTGAGCGGTTATTTGAATAATCCGGTGCACGGCACGGGCGTCTATCGGCGGCCGTCGAGCGGCTCGGCGGTGGGTCCCTTCTCGGGCACCGTGTTGGCGCAACCGCTTCCGCGGCGCAACTCACAGCAGCTGCAGTATTATGGYGGCTTCGACTATGCGAACTACACGAATCCCTACATAACGGCGAACAGTAAACTGTCGCTCGGCAATGAGTCCGACGATTATCGGAAATATCGCGATGTGGCGCTGTAGGCGATCGTAGGAGATGTTTTTTAGGTTATGCTTTTAGGTGCTAATGAATGAGTCAATGTTTACTTTAGTTCTTAGTTTGAGGTTAGGTTTGTTTTTGATAAATATTTAGGTTTAATAAGAATAA